TCATGACAATCATTTCTACTTTAGGCCTTGCGCTAGTTTGGATATTTTCAGTTTTTTATTCATTATTTCTGATATAGTAACTATTGTTGGCAGCTTTAGGAAGGAATATTCATTTCAAAAGTGGTAGGTTTCTAACCTTTTTGAGCGACGAGGTTTGAAGTGGTTTCTGTCTTAGAATGTTGCAACTCTTATTTGTAACTGTAGGAATAAACGTCAGTGGAGCATGTACGGTTCTGTGAAGTTTTGGTTACTTTGTTCTGGGGAGAGTGAAAGTTTGGAAGTTTTTTTTTGAAAACCTAAACAGGTTTAAAAAAACCTGACAAGAAAGGATTTTTGTTCAAGGGGTTCAAAGATTTGTGCGTTTTGGGGAAGATTCGCAAAGGGTGTTTAGTAGTTTTGAACTGTTGCCATTCCTGCTTGGAACATGGTGAGTCACCAGGATTTTAAGCCATATTCTTTTGGTTTAGACTCTATGTTTTCCAGCCTGGTTGCATAAGAACACTAAAGTTTGTGTCGGTGTAACAGTAGTTCAAATAGGTCGTTAAATATTGAAAAATTGTCAAAGGGTTTTGTTTAGCTGCGTGTTTTTCGATAATGTTTCTTTTTAAGTGGAGGTCTGATCATCACGCGTTGTCAAGTATGCCTTTATAAATTCTCCACGCCTTTCGGGGCTTTTCGTTACCGTTTTAGGGAGTATGTCACTATTCTTTATACGCATTATTGGCGTGTCAGTGACTAGTGTGCTGGAGGAAACCTTAAAAAAGTTGGGGTCTGGAATTACATGTTATGAAAGTTAAATTTTGCTGTTCCTCTACACAGCGTTTGATTTGATTTTTTCTTTACTGACTGGATCATCAATACGCCAGAGAAGGCAAGTGGAGTTGTCAGTTTGACCTTTATCGAACGGCTTAATGGGACATGAGAAAAGAAGTTTGTGATATTAATGAGCACATTTTAAACGGCTATTAGTTAAAAGAAGTTGATGAAAGTAAATTCAGATATTGTTTGCATCTGTAGATGTATGGCTTTTTAATCCTTAAATATTAGCTCCATTATTTTGCAGTTTGAAAATGTTTGGGAATTT